AAAGCGCTAACGATACATGATGTTAATTGTGCGATTGCTCTTAAAACCAAGCACATACACAATGGAAGCGCCACGCTATACCCAAGCAGGGTGAAAATCGATCGAGGATTCGTCGACGACTCGTCGAGGATTCCGCCTGTTCAGTCACGCTCTCCCGCGCGACATTCACTCTCGCCACGCGCGAGCCGTCTGTGCTCTCCGCGCGTACATTCACTCTCGACACTATTCTCACACAGTACAGAGCCATGGTCGAGGATTCTCCTCCACCGTTATCCATACGGATAAAGTGTTAGTCTTTTATAGGTCGGATCAAAGTATGTGACAAATACATATTTTCCAAAAGAAGTCGTTCTGTCGTTCCAAAATCGGATACTGCCCACAGACGAACATGTTATACGACTCACTCACTGTGATGGAGCACTTGTGGTTTTTTTATACACTGAAACGTGTTGAGAAGAAAGATCAAGAAAAAGGTAAAAAAGGAGGATGGCGGTCAGAAGCGAACGTGCTCAGCGATAGTCTCGACATGGAAGACATCAAAAATAAAGTGAGTGAGCACCAAATTAACCATTAAAACACTCTGTTACCGTTATGTAACACATTAACACTCTGCATCGATGCTGTCTATCTGCTAAGAAATTAAGCAGTAATGGAGCGTTCAGAGTTGGCGATCGTACGTGCGATTAGGCGAGTAGGCGATTAGGCGATCGCTCGATGGGCGGAGCAACAAATCAATACGTATCCTTCTCTTATCGCCTACTCGCCTAATCGCCTAATCGATACGTATACTTTTCTTTTTGAATCATCGCCTAATCGCACGTACGATCGCCAACTATGAACGCTCCATAAGGCAAAAGTTAGGGCGCAAGCAAAAGCAAGAATGTTTCAGAAGGCGGCTTGGCTCTCACAAGCGGATAAACGAAAGCTGTGCATCGCTAACGCGTTTATTGGTGGGAGTCGTGTGGTGCTGTTGGATGAACCAACTACTGGCATGGATCACACATCTAAGAAAGCTCTTAAGATACTTGTCGAATCTCAGAAGGATTCCAGGTACGTAATTAGAAATTGAAGGAGAATAACTAGCACACACACTCTCAGAATACACTGGGCAGGCCACTTATCAGAGGTGTATTAAAAGGAAACCTTCAAAGGCAGGGACCTGGGCTTGCTCAGAAAGCATTCTCTTCGTAAGTGACAGTTGCCCGCTGTACTAAGGGCAGGAGTTGTGCACCTGGGCTCGAAAGCGCGACAAGCATCCCTCAATCGACCGCTGCGACCGCTGCAACTTCTCGTTCACGGCATGAGAACTGCCTGCGCCCTCTCGTACAACGTCTCCTCCAACGTATTCCATCTCATCGCACTGCAACAGACACACCATCAGTTCCTGTTTCACGGTCGATAAAAGAAAAGGAAGGCTTTTTGTAGTTCAACAATGTTATGAAAGCTGCCTTTCGCATTTTTTTAACAGCTCGACGACGGTCTCTTACGCATCTTTCGCTCGATTTTCGAAGGGCGAACATCCATACGTCCGCAACTAACCGTTATTAGTCAAAGCATGGTGTTTGTTGGCATGGTCTTGGCTATCGAGTGTTCTCCACTGGCTCTCCAGTGAGCACCCTCAACTCCTAAGTCGTCGAGATTCGGCCATCAATTCGTGCCTTGTACAGCAACAGTCTCAGCAGGGTGGGCCGTGGTCGAAGCGCAGGCTGCCAATCCCCCCCCCTGTCCGATTAAACCCCACACTTCGGAGCTGTTCAGCCCCTAGTCAAGAACGTAAGAAGTGTGACTGAACAAAAACTCACCTTGGAAAGCCGCTAGGGAGAGGAGCTGAAGTGGGCGTGGTCGGAATCGGCCGAGGGGATTGCAGTCGTTTCCGACCACGCCCACCCTGCTGGGACTGTTGCGCATTATGTTAGTGATTCCTCTCAGCGCTACCAATCGCAATCTGAAACCAACCCAAAAGTATTGTCTCAATCTTATTTCTTGCTTCTTCGTGGGACAATAGTCTTTTTCATTCATGTCCTTGAAAGTAGTCTGAAAATGCGCTTTAAGAGCAATAATGATGACCACCCAAAACATGGAGGATGCCGAATCCATGGGGCACCAGTTGTACGTTATGTATATGGGGAGAACCGTATGCAGTGGTGACATCCAGTTCGTCAAAGGCTCGTGAGTTGTCATCTTTTCTGTCATCTGTTCATAGTCGCCTAATAACCACAAACAATTCACATTCATTCATTCTTGAATCTTCAATGCTCTCTGCTATGGCTGCATTCTTTCTACTAATAGTTAATTCCCTACACAATCGTACCCATGTTTAGCACCGCGGCTCATGGTTCGCGACGCCGGAGATTAGATAGTACGCGAGGAAACAAAAAAAAAAAACAGTGAAAAACAGTATTGGCGGCGAAGGCTAGATAGTAGTCAGAGTGGGAGAATTTTTGCCGACCGATTTAGATACGTATCGATTGAAATCGCCGGAGAGAGTTGATCTATTCGCTTGAAGTCGCCCAATCTACTACTCTCCAGCGATTTCAATCGATACGTATCCAATCTTGTCAGCGCAATCTCCTACTCTACTACTATCCTAATATCCTATCGCCTACTATCCTAATCTCCGAGTCGCGAACTATGAACTAGCTCCGCTGCAGGTTTGTCGCCGCCCGCGGCTGATACCTCGCCTGAGTTCTGTCGTGCTCCTCAGCCGCGTTCGCGCAGCATGCGCCAACTATAAGCGCACGCTCACCTTCCGGTCATGTCCCCATCTGAGGCTGTCCATAGAGGACGCCTCCTCCAGTTTTGCGCGGCATCGCTTCTCCTCTGGAAGGATCGGGTAGAGGGCTGTTGCCTCAGCTACATTTTTACTCTTTTCCATACCACGACGTATGGCGGATGTCTGCACTTCCTCCAGCTATGTTCTCTCGCCAAACCTCTTTCCTCCCTACTCAGTGTGTCATTGCCTTAGCACAACCTTTTTTGACAGATTCTCTTCTTTTTCTCTCGTTGCCGCTCTACCTCTAACCACTTGAAATCTGTTCTCTGTTCAAGATTCGGCAAAGAATACATGCTGGTGGTAACGCTTTCTCAGAAAGGAAACCGCAGGCTCAACTGCACGAATTGAAGAGGTAGGAAAGGCTCAACTACTTAGTTTGTACACAGCAGCATGACGACTTCCTTCAATGCAGGGAATAATGACGATGGTTCCTGGCGCGAAAGTTCGTGTGAAACAAGGAAGTTGTTTGAAAATCGATCTACCAAAACTGCAAGATAAACAGTAAGCTTTTCTGCTACAACATCTCTTCAAAAGCTAGGGATAGTCGTGATGCTTACATAAATAAAAATAAATAAATAAAAATGCGTCACCAACTGCCACTGTTTTGGGAACCGACCGAATGGCTATTTGTTACCGTAATTTTTACGCCATTGCGAAACTGTTAGCCCGATCATGAAATCTGCGCACCTGAATCCCATCTGCATGGCTCAAAGGTTGGAAAGCACCAAGCCTTTGAGCTTCTCCTGCTCCTAAAAGTGTTAGGCTTAATTATATTCAGTTGCTACTCCTGTTCCCGTGAAGAGCGGAATGTCAGACACAAAAATGTTTCTAATGGAACGTAGAATTCATGGCGCATTTCAAATGTGCCCACATCAAGCAACTTTCACCAATGTAACTTTGTTCTAATTCTATACATGGATTTCTAATTTGGATTCCAGCTTCCCCGTTATACTCCAAAAGTTGGACGAGGAAAAGCAAATGGGCTACGTGGCCGACTATCGACTCACGTACGGTATAAAGCGGAACATTCCTGAGTATGCTGTGCTTATGCTCATTAGTGATCACAGCGCTTTCTGAAGTTCGAAGTTGCTCCTCCACTGACGTCCATTCATAATGGAAAAAGACGATTTCATAGGTTTTCTGGAATCACTTCACATTCTTCGAAGCAACAGTCTCAGCAGGTCCTTATCTTTGATTCTATGATGAATTGGAAATATGCACTAGCCCTAGTCACGTCACATGAAGAGGCACTGAACAAAAAACGTGGCGAAACTCGGGTCAGGGGGGCACGCGATGGCGCGGCGCTCTGTTCGTCTGCTCCTCCAAGGCTTAGTCCACAGGGACAGTTACTCTTTCGCCATTATGTGGCAGTTTCAAAATACGCGCCATCGGTGACTAAGCCTTGGTAGAGTAGACCTGGGGAATTGAATTGAAAAGCAAGGGGTTTTTCCCCCCCTCCCCCCCCGGCGGAATACCCGAATTTGCGAGCGACGCCCAACTTGGCAAGCCGTAGAGAGTGCGTGATTGGCATCCGAGTCATTTGCAGTTGTTTTCGGGATCACAGGGAATATTTGAGCTCGGTCCTTTGAAGCAATCAATGTGGTGGCGGCGACTACGCTGGACAAGTGCAAGTACCTTGATTTCTACTAGTCTGTCTTTTCATAATTAACTCGCCCTTTAACCCTCACATTACTCGGAAATCGACAGAACACTTGTAAAAGCCGCATTTTGTTGAGTAATACTTTCCTTCAGCAAGCAGTAGTGAGTTTCAGCGATAAATTTTGCAGAATGGGTGAAATGACCGAGATAGACAAGTGCACTGCAGCTGCACCACTTGGTACCAGATCATGGAATTCATTTCGAGGTATCATTTAGTTAGACAGCTATAGAGCTTTGATTTACAGCTTTAGTCTGCGCTCACCATCAAGGAAAATAGAACGATTTTTCAGACCTTCTTTGCTTCTGGCGTCTCATTTTTCTGCTCTATAAGAAGATTTTGCTTTCCATTTTTCACGTACCGCTCATATTCTCCCAGGTTTGTCGTGTAAACCGCTGAATATTTTCAGTACTGGGGAAGCAATAATTAATATAACCATAAAAAATAATGTTCAAATTGATTAATGCCAGGCGTCCTACGCTGCCGTGCAGAGCAAATTGCCTTAAAGTCAAAGCAAATTCCAGGGTCGAAGTGACGTCTTACTGAACTTCTAAGTGCTATGCAGATGTGATTGTAACACGAGAATGAAATTGAGGAGAAAGCGTTGACAAAGACGAACATAAAGACCCTTTCCCGAAACAGCATCGATGGATGGGGGTGTGGTGGTGGGCGAAGAATATGGAAATCCTAGACCATAGGGCCCTAGCCTTCTCCAAGGAATCTTTCCCGCGAAATAATTGCTTTCTTTCCCAACATAAATGTGTCACTTGTGATCACTAGAGACAACAGACAAAGTTTCATGGACGAAGATTCGCTTCCCGAAGAGAAACTTACAAAAACTAAACTCCATGGACAATATTATAACTCCATGGACACAAATTTGGAGACGATTCAGGACTTTGCGGGAAGAAATTCTCAAAAAACCGTCTGTTATTAAAATTTGGCCACTATTGTAGCGGAATTACACACGCGACCAGATGTGCCGTGACCTTCCGTCCGTAGCTGAATAAGGGCTTGCGGCCACTTCCCCCCCCCCCCGCCTCTGTTCGCTTTATTGTTTGCCGCCTCCAACGGTTGCCCATCGCTGCCTATCGGACCGAGCCCTTTTGGCAGAAAGCCACAGCGTAGTGATCACGTTGATGACGTCAGCGTCGTTAAGACTCCTCTAACGCTGACGATCACTGGGGTTTCAGTGCCAACTTCTCCCGAGTGAACCTTTTACCATACAATTCTGCGCTACGGCACCATTTACCTCTTCTCCCACTCTAATCACGACGGATTTCTTTCACCATCTGCCTTGCCTATTTTCATTCAATGAACTCATGACACAGGGTTGGTATCTGAAGGCAAGCCTCGGGGTGAAACCAGTGTATAGGAGAGCTTCTAGTGATGAGCTGCGGAACAACCTGAAATTGGAAAGGAAAAGCAAAGAACTTCGGGAACGCAAAATTAGAGCCAACCTACAGCATGGTCGGGTATGGTGCGACGGCGAGATGGGGCGATAAAACAAAACAAAAGACGCGCTGGGTGGGGAGCGATGCAACGGGGATCGATGGTTGCAGGCTCTAAGGAGCAATGCCCTAACCACGCATTCGTACGACGAAGCTGGCACAAGTACGGACCCCACAATTTCCCTCCGCCATTCCTTCCAGCTAGTCGGGCTATCTCGCGGCTTTCCCTTAGGGTAAATAATAGTAAAGTGGGTCTATACGACTTCGATTGAGTGCTTCGGCCTGTGTCAGACTTTGCGAATACAGCGAATCGTGGGGTGTGAGCGATGCACCACCCGGCTCGCACGATGTAACAGCTGTTACGGTTTGAAGGGAGCAGGGGTCCTCTTGTTCAGACGTTCACCCTCTCCACATTCCCGGGCTCACTTGTGCATGAAAGAGCGAGAGGCACGAACACAGGAACGTTGCGAATGTGAACGTGAGAACAAGAGGGGTTCTCGAAATTTCGAACGCTGCCAAGTCGCTGACACATCGCTGGTATGTCATTTGAACCACAATGCAGTCGCTCGTACCCCGCGATTCGCTATCCATTAGCTGGGTTCGCAAAGTCTCTCACCGGCCTTTCCGATACGCCACGATTCTATGACGTCATTTTTTGTTTCCTCCACTCATTGTTTACTTCTCAACTGAACTGCTATTTCAGTGGCTGTTGCCAATATTTGTCGCGCTATTCGTTGGACATGAAATAATGTTCGAATTGGAAGCCATCAGAGCTGCTGGTACGCTGTAAAAATACTATGGAATGTTTGGTGGAATAAATAGGGTGGCGGATTTTAAGGAATGACGAGGACGTACACTAGACCTTGCATAATTCAATTCTCGGACATGGTTAACAGTTTGACAACAAACGCCCCCCTTAATTTTTTTTGTAGCGTGAGCCAGAATTGAGAAGTGCTTGGCGCGTGAGATTGGAAGGAGGCGTAGGAGTGGGCTGGTAGGGGTCGAATTTTTATGTGGGTACAAGAAAGGTCGTATTTTCTAGAAAGGTTAGGAATGTAGCTGTGTGAGCCTACTAGTGGAATTTCAGAGGAAGAAGAATTTCCGTAAAGTTTTTATGGAAATTCTTGAGAACTACAGAGAATTCTTTACTTCTTGTGCTCTGAGAAAGGCACATCTAACTGTACTTTTCCTATAGGGTTTTTAGCTCACAAATAGGTTCTGATTTCGGTGATCAAATACAATGGAACTGTTCTTTGACTTAGCACCAACAAATGGATTAATTTGTCATTATT